TGCAGGAGCTGGGAGAAGCTGTTCAGAGGGGGCTGACTGTGTGGGCTGTGTAGGGCTGGGGGGGGCGTGTCCAGGAGGGGAGCAGAGGGGTGGAGGGTGGCTGAACACGTCCCTGATCACAGACCTGCTGCTCCTGCGGCACCTGCTTTTTACCACGGTGACGGCTCTTGTAATGACTTTTTAACGCCTGTTCCCTCGTCTGAGCCGAACAGGCTGCGACATAGGCATTGGGACTGCCTGTCTCGATAACATGGCAGCCTCAGGATTCTGGCTTGCAGAGGGTGCACAGAGTGTTGAATGGGCACAAGACAACACCCCCAACCTGGGGCCCAGAGCCCATCGAAGTCAAGTTCTTACAGGGTAGCACAGCCACCTCCCGAGACTCCAGGACAGCTGGCTCTAAGGCTGTGGGAGGCATGAGTGGGTTTAAGACTGTGACCTTGGACATCTGAGTCTGATGGGAGTTGGGCTCCAGCACTGACTACCAGTCTCGCTACCTCTGCTTTCTCATCTGGAAGTGGGATCGGGACAGTTGTTATGGGGCCGCTGGGCATTACCAAAGTGATACTGCAAGCTACACAGCCTGCTCCCCGGCACAGGAGGTACTCAGAGGGGCCGACGGCCATGGGCTGTGGACGCCATGAGCCAGGGCAACCGCCGGAGTGGCTTGGCAGTGCCCCGTGTTCCCCGAGCTGCCTGGCATCAGGCAAGCCAGGGCCCTGGCCTCCTATACTCCCACCCCAGGGGACTGGCTCCTGGCCCCTGCCTCCCCACCTCCTGATATACAGCGGGCATTAGGCCGCCCAAAGGGGATACTGCATCCTTAGGAAGAAATATGCCCTCATTTTTCTTAAACACCGTTTCCACTGAGTGAAATGTTTAGAAGGGACGCGCAGGGAGAACTTTATTTCCTACCAGGGAGTTCAGAGCCACCAGGCAGAGCCCATAAAGCACCCGGAGCCTGGTAGCTGACAGGCAGCCCGGCCCCGACACACATTACTCACGGCTGGGAGGGGCTGCCAGGCCTGCCCAGCCCCCTGGGACTGCCCCCCCACCAGCCACCAGACAAGCAACGCCAAGACCCAGGGCCACGGGCAGTGGGCACCATGCCTCTCCTCCTCTTGAGCCCAGGCTGCCTCGGGAGAGGGCCCTGACCAGGTGAAGAAGGAGTGGTCCTTCCAGCCACCTCGCCCTTCCCCGCGCCGGAGCTCGGGGAGCTGAGGAGCCCAGGGGCCCAGCTGCAGCACCGGGAGCCCCCCCCCCCCCCATACAGAACTGGCAGGAGCTCTGGCCTTCCCAGCCCTCAGAGCACTGATGAGATCCATGCCGTAACGGGCCCCTCTCCCGAGGCCCTCCCTTCATTCGATTTCTGAAGCTGGCTGATTTGAATATTTATAAATATCAGTAAATTATTTATTGTAGCAATCTGCTGCACCATTTTACCCATCGCAGTTAACACTTTAGGGGGCTTCGTGTTATGGGAACAGGAAGTGGGAGTGAGGAGGAAATCAGGCAGAGGTAGAGGGAGGCTCCGGTCAGGGAGGCCTAGGACCTTCTGGAATTCCCTCAGGACCATCACTGGGGACAGTGCGGAGCCCCGGCCCTCAGGGTAAGCTCAGGCCAGTGTGTGTGCAGCTCCAGGCTAAGTCTCCTTCCCTATCAAATGGGATGATGATAGACCATGCGCCCCTGGGTCGTTGTAAGCCATCCGTGAGATCATGGCCTAAAAAAGTGGAGAGTCCAACTGTGGCCTCTCCCCAACCTGAACAGATCCTGTGGGGGCATTATTGAGTCTGGAGCCCTGGTAGGAAAGGTTCAGTCTGGAGCAGGGGAAGGCTCAGGACCCCTCCTCAAGTGTCTTGCCTTTCCTTCCCCACTGCCTCTGCTGGGCTAGGTGGGGTTTCCTGGGCCTAGGATCGTGGGCCAGATGTGGCACCACATCCAACTCCTGTCCGCTCCCAGGGCTCCACTACCTTTTCCTCGGTCCTTGCTCACCAGGCCCTGCAGCCCTTCTGTGAGGAGGGCACTTGCCCAGGGCCAGAGCCAGGCGTGAGCTCATGACTCCCTGACCCCAGAGGCCAGGCCATAACCTGGTCCTATGCCACCTCCCAAGGTTCACCCTGGCCAGTGCAGAGCCACTGGGGCCAGAGGCTGGAGGCTGGGAGAGCCGCCAGCAGCAGAGTGGGCTCTCTGCCCATATCCAGGTCCCAGGCCTGGCCTGGCCCTCCTCGCCTGCCCCTCCCCTCCCTTTCACTCCTCTCCCCTCCCCTGCCTCAGCCCCACGTCTGCCTGTCCCTCCGTGAACAGAACGGGAGTCCCCTTGCCTTCCCACCCTCCAGCCCAAGCTCGCCTCCTGGGCAGTATTGTTCCCAGAGGAAGTGTCCAGTGTAAATAGAGCAGCGGGCAGGCTGGTGGCGGGAAGGAGATGAAAGGGGCAGTGACAGGGCCGGGGACGGATGGCTTCCTTCCATTGAGGGCTGGCCACAGCGTTTATATTTTAGGGAAGAAAGTCAGAGGAATGTTTACATGGATAGGAGTCTGGGGTCAGCCCATGGAGGGGTGGGGGGTGAGTGGGGGGCGTCTATAGGTCTCAGGGCTCTGATGGAGTAGCAAAGAGCAAGACCCCACAGACTGGGCCGGAAGGCGGGCAGGCAGGCAGCTCAGCCCTCAGCCTGTGTTTGCCCCCCTTCCTAGCCTCGCACGCGTTGGCACTTAGGAGCATGGTCCTGCCTCGGCTCCTGCCCGAGTCCCGGGCCCACGCGCCTCCTCCACTCCGCCCCTGGGACCAGCAGGCGAGTCAGAGGGAGGGCAACATCTGGAAGGCAGGTGGGCTGGGGCAGAGCAGCAGCTGGAGGGCAGGTGTAGGGGGAGTCAGCAGGAGCAAAGGGGCCTGGGGATGGGGGGGCCCTGGGTGCACAGCTGCATCACAGCTGGTGGGGGCCCAGGCAGGGACCAAGCCAGGCACACAGCCTGGATGGGGAGAGGGTGGACTGGGCTGGGAGGGCCTAAGTGCGGGGAGGCTCCAGGATGGGTGGGGGCAGGGGGGTCGGTTGTCACCACAGCAAGTGCAGCCCTGGAGCTTTGCTTCCCTCTTCCTTAGGATAAATATTTATAGATTCATTTGCCGTCTGCCATACACACTTGGCTGCTTACCTCCTGGTAAAAATAGTGCAGGCTCCCCCACTCCCGCCCTTCCCTTCCCCATCCAGGGTAGAGGACAAAGGGGACCAGGTGAGGCCTCCCCGGCTGCAGGCCTGTTGGAGGAAGCCTGGTGTCGTGGAGCCTGCTGGCCAACCTGAAGTCAAGTGAGGCAGTTGATGGTCAGGGCCCCGGGCCCCACTGGTGCCTGTGGACTCGGGTGTGGGCAACACAGACTTGGAGATGGGGACCAACAGGGCAGAGTGGACATCTAGCTTGGGCAAAGGTCCAGGGCCCTGAAATCAGGGCTGCAAGACTGAGAGGAGTGGGAGCGCTGAGCAGACCCTTCTCTGGCACTCGGCTGGGCTGGGCTGGAATCCTCTCGGACACATGAGCTGAGCACGGCTGTGTATACTGGCCGCTGGCTACAAGGTTGAGGCTCTGGTGGGAGCCCCTGGCCTGTTATCTGTGTACACAAGTGAAGTTCACTTGTGGGATGACCCCTGGGCACACAGGCTGTTTCTGCTGAGTCGGCCTCTCAGTGGGCTCCAGCTGTGTGGGTTTTCATGGTGTTGGTCTGTACGCCGAAGCCCTTGTGACTGTGGAGCTAGGGAGCAGAGCTGCTGCCTCCACTTAGCCTTCTGACCTTTGTGGAACACAGAAGTTCAAGCAGCCCTCGCCCTGCTCTCTGGCACAGGGAGGCACAGAGTGCATGTGAGCGTAGACCCTGTCTGCCAAGGCCACCACCTGGCTCCGCTACAGGGTCTGCATTCAGTCGGAGCTCCTTAAAGGGGTGGATGAACAGGTCTGTACACAAGTATGGGCACTCTACGTGTGTGCCCAGCCTTTCTGGCCTTAATGCAGGTCCCAGGCTGACCACATGCCCCCCAGGACCCCCCAGGACCCTCGGGGCCCCAATCATTGACAGAGGCAGGCTAGGCAGCCACGGGGAAGGTGGCCCTCACTCAAGTAGCCGAATTAGGTTTCCGGCTGTTTGTGGCAGGCCATCATGTCCAGGGATTAAGGCGCTGTAACTGTAGCTTCTAGCTTTGCCCATACGGATCTGAGGACTCCCAACCTGTGCCAGCTGGGGCTCCACAGGGCTGGGAAGTGGGTTTCCCAGGAACAGCCAGGCCTTCCAGGACTGCAGGGGCCAGCTGAGGCCAAGGGCGAGAAGGAGAAGCGAAGTCCTCGCTCACACGTGGCCAGGGAGGGGCCGTGAAGGGCCAGGAATGGCTGAAGCAGCGGAGGGGCGGCTGAGGGAAAACAGGGTCTGGGGTGGCTGGAAGCAAAGGAGACCTCTGCTGTCCCCACAGGCAGAGGGTGGAGTCACACCTGGCCTGGAGGGGGGGGACTGCCAGGGGATAAGATGTTCTGGTGGGGAAGGTGCCCCCAGTGCAGCCGTGATGGTCGAGCCAGAGGTTGGCACAGGCTGGCCCCAACTCTTGGCTGGCTCCTCCCCAGGGATGTGCAGGGAGACAGCATGTGCACAGCAGTCACCTGTCACCTTTGCCCACAGCCCCCTCCCTTGCTGGTACTTCAGTTCCCCGTGTGTTGACGGGCCTAACACCCTTCAGAGCAGCCATTAGGGCCAAAACCAGCCTGGCAGGTGCTTCCAAGAACCCGGTGGTGGGAAGGAGACCGCCCCTCGTGTCCTAGCGTCCTCCCTTCCTTCCTTCACTCTGAAGCGTCACTGTGTGCCGCGCTCTGAGGACTGAGTGATTTGTGAGCTGGGCCCAGGCACTCACAGCCCCCTGGGGGAGGTCTCAGGGCAGCTGGATGGAGTCGGGAGGGGTCGGGGCTGCGGGGCTATGCAGGTGGGCATGCAGGCATCTGACCTCTGTGTCCCTCCACCCCTACAGCTGAAGGCACCCGGTGCACTGACCCGCCTGCAGGCAAGCCCGCAATGGCGGCCAAGCGCAAAGGCGGCTTGAAGCTCAACGCCATCTGCGCCAAGCTGAGCCGCCAGGTGGTGGTGGAGAAGGGAGCGGAGGCCAGCTCCCAGGCTGAGGGCAGCCCTCTGCGGCCCCGGGACAAAGAGCGCAGCGGCCCTGAGGCTGGGGTGGCCCGCGCGCCCCGCAGTGAAGAAGACAAGAGGCGGGCGGTGATTGAGAAGTGGGTCAACGGGGAGTACAGCGAAGAGCCAGCGCCCACCCCCCTGCTGGGGCGGATGGCCCGCGAGGGCCTGGAGCTGCCGCCCGAGGGTGTCTACATGGTCCAGCCCCGGGGCTGCAGTGACGAGGAAGACCACGCAGAAGAGGCCCCGAAGGACGGTGGCGTCCTGGAGGAGAAGGACGCGGAGGGGGCAGTCTCCAAGGATGATAGCGGCCCCAGCACCAAGCAGCCTTCAGGTGGGTGTCTGGCCAATGAGGGGAAGTGAGGGGCACAGCAGGACACAGACCTGAGGGGCAGGGGGAGACCCAGTAGCAAAGCAGTAGTGTGTCCAGGGAGCACGCCCACTTCCTCACCTGTTCCCAAATGCCGGCTCCTCATCCAAGTCCAGGGTAAGAAAGGAAGGGATGGAGGAGGCAGCTGCCCAAGAATGGAGCTGCCCAGCACACAGTGGGTCTTCAAGAAATAACGGATGGAGGGACAGGTGGTTGAATGGATAGACAGGGCTGGCTGGCTGGCTGGATGGATGGAGGGACAGACAATGAACACACAACCAGACAGGAGATACGGATAGAGAGGTGGGGGTGGGAGGGAGGCGCTTCACTTTGCACACACCCACAGAGAGGTGAGCCTCTAGGGGGCTGCAGTACCTGGCTGTGTCGGGGATGGGGTGGGGCACAGCAACAGGACACCCTGAGCTACTGAGCTCCTTCTCAGCAAGTACCGGGAGGTTTCTTGAGAGATCCGGAAGAGTCTCTGTCCTCCATTGCTCCACTTGATCTTTCCTGTGTCTCTGTCCTCCTGGGCCGTGAGGGTGGCCTGGCCCACCGCCCTGGCCGGGGCCCTCTGGCTGACCTCTCTCCCACAGGAGGGCTGAGGCCTGGCTCCTCGGGCATCTCCTTGTCCTTTGGACCCAGCAGCCTCTAGCCACTCCCCAGAGGAGGGTGGCCTGGGTTTCAGGCAGACGGGGGACGTCCTGGCGAGCACTGGCGCCCAGGCTCTGGGCCCTTGCGGCAGCCTCCACCTCCCTCCCAGGCTCGTGCCGGTGGCCCGCACCTCCCCTGCCCACTCCCCTATCCCCTTCCCCCTGCAGTGAGGGGCGCATCTCCTCCCTGTGCGGGGAGCCCTGCGCAGCCACATAATTATGCATATAAGATATAAACAGAGCTGTTTAATTATCCTTCGCCACATCAGTGACAGAGTAATTAACAAACATTGCAAGATCAATGAGGAAAAGTGTGACCTTCAGTTTCCTCTGATAGGAAAAGCCCTTGCCGCTGCCAGACACAAGGTGATCGTGCCGGGCCTGAGGAGAGGAGAGGGACAGGGACTAGGGCCACGCTGCTGTCCCTTCCACACCCGTCCACATCCGCACCCAGCCCCACTAGTGTTGAGGAGGTGGAGTGGGCCTCACCTGCAGCCTCCTTCCCTGGGCTGGGGGGAGTGGAGGAGGCAAGGCTTGAACTGGCCATCGTCCCCTGGCCCAGGCCGTGGCCCTGGGCCCTAGGACAGCCTGGTGAGCATTACTGCCTATCTGCCCTGCTACCCTGGGGCTTCAGGAGTGCGGGGCCCCGAGCTGCCTCTGGGACCCCCACTTGGCCCCTTAGCTGCTTGAGACTGCCTGCCCTTCAGAGCCTCCGTTTCTCTGCCATATATAGTGAGACGCAGCTGCCTCCAGCTATTTTTAGCCCCTTTCCCGGCCCCTGAGCCACTGCATCCAGCAGCCACAGCCCACCACTCCCAGGCTGCCCCCCACCCTCCGGAGCTTGAGGTCAGGACAGCACCTGACCACTGGCCTCCCCGGGGAAACAGCTGTCTGTCGGTGCCTGGAGTTGCTCTGCTCAGCCCGGGTGCCAGGGGCTGCCTGTGGCAGTCCTCTCCTCACCCAGGGCCCCCCTCGCTCCCAGGAGCTTGGAGTTGTGCCTCCTACATGCTGTTGGGTTTGTTGTCCTGCTCAGGACCCACTGCAGATGTGCTGTGCGAAGCCCATACCTGGGGGCTTGGGTGGGACCTGGAGGAAACCCCTTTAACTCCTTCCCTTGCTGTTAATAGTCCCCAGCCTGAGGGCCTGGCGCTGAGTGTGCCCACACAGGCTAGCTTACACAGGTGGGGAGAGGGCGTGGAAACCCCGGGAGCCACGTGGGTCTCACTGTCCTATGTGTGCTCAGCCCTGAGCCAGTGTGGCGCACGGTAGGTGGTTAGCATGTGTTAGTGAAGGAGTGCACTCCTGTGCACGGGGAGTCACACGGTGGCGGTGGGGAGAGCTTGTATGTGGGAGAGGCACCGTAATGGCACTGCCTTCTGCCACGGTCCTGAGGCTCGTCTTGGGGAGCAGGGTGTGGGGTTTGCGGGGCTTGTGTGCGAGTATGTGTCTGTATAGTTAGGAACAGTATCTGGGGCCATGAGCCTGTGAAAATGTGTGTGTGTATGTAGCAATGTGTGAATGTGTGAGTATGAACATGTATGTTGAGGGTAAGGGTGTGTGTGCGTGTATGTGTGAGAGTGAGAAAAAAGAGCGAGAGAGAGACTGCAGGGAGGCTGGGTTCTCACTACACCTTGGATGGAGATGGGGGCAGGATGGGTGAGCCAGACTCGGGGGCACTGCCCTAGGCTTTAGGCCCAACCAGGGCTGGCCTCTCCCACTCTTCCCAGGTGACCCACTCTTGTGTGTGAGCCCAAGGGCTGGAAGATGACAGGGGAGTGTGAAGGATGATTAAATCGCTACTAGACTTGGGGCCCTACATGAGTCTTGGGGACCCTCTCCTGCAGAGTCTGGCCCACTCAGCTGCATTACTGGGGCCGTCAGCAGCCCAAGGAGGGCTTTCCCCTCACCCGCCAGGGCTCCGTGTGAGGGGCCAGGGAGAGTTCTCCAGCCAGGCCCACCCCGATCCCACCCGAGCATCTCCCTCAGCCCCTGGCTCCCTCCTGACTGCCCAGCCACTGCCCCTCATGGCTTCCTGTCCCCAGCCCTTCTCACTGCCCCCACCCCAGGATGCAGGTTGGGGTCTGACCTTACTTCCAGTAAGATGACTTCTCTTTCATATTAGGCCAAGGCGAGAGAGCGGAGACATTTATGAAACTTTGTTTAATGTACTGAAAAGCCATCGGCCAGAACATTTAGGAAATTGATTTTCCTGGCATTGATGAACTCGTTTTATTTTACCCCAGTATTAATTACTTTTTTTTAAAACAAATTAATTTAAGAGTCGTAAAACCTAACAAGTGAGCCAAATGTCCATAGATCATGTCCTGCTCCGCCCCTCCTGGAGCTAGCCCCCTCCACCTATGGGTGGGGGCCCGGTCCCTTCCTCCCCTGCTCCCTCCATGAGGTGACTCACCCCTCTCCTCACCACCCCCGACAGGAGAGGCCTCTTCACTGCGAGACTACGCGGCCTCCACCATGACCGAGTTCCTGGGCATGTTTGGCTATGACGACCAGAACACAAGGGACGAGCTGGCCAGGAAGATCAGCTTCGAGAAGCTGCACGCGGGCTCCACCCCTGAGGCCGCCACCTCCTCCATGCTGCCCACCTCCGAGGAGACCCTCAGCAAGCGGGCACGTTTCTCCAAGTACGAGGAGTACATTCGCAAGCTCAAGGCCGGCGAGCAACTCTCGTGGCCAGCCCACGGCGCCAAGGCTGAGGAACGGGCGGGCAAGGAGGTGGTGGGCCCACTGCCCGGCCTGCGGCTGCCCAGCAACACCGCACACCTGGAGACCAAGGCCACCATCCTGCCCCTGCCATCCCACAGCAGTGTCCAGATGCAGAGCCTGGTGGCCCGGGCCTCTAAGTACGACTTCTTCATCCAAAAACTGAAGACAGGCGAGAACCTGCGGCCCCAGAATGGGAGCACTTACAAGAAGCCATCCAAGTACGACCTGGAGAACGTCAAGTACCTGCACCTGTTCAAACCAGGAGAGGGCAGCCCTGACATGGGCGGGGCCATCGCCTTCAAGACAGGCAAGGTGGGGCGCCCTTCCAAGTACGACGTCCGGGGCATCCAGAAGCCGGGCCCCGCCAAGGTCCCGCCTACCCCCAGCCTGGCTCCTGCACCCCTGGCCAGTGGGCCCAGCACTCCCAGTGCCCCTGGCCCGGGGCCTGAGCCACCTGCCTCCCTGTCCTTCAACACTCCTGAGTACCTGAAGTCAACCTTCTCCAAAACAGACTCCATCACCACGGGGACCGTCTCCACTGTCAAGTAAGGTGCTCCCCACCCCCGCGGCCACCCAGATCCTGGGGTGGGCTAGGCGGGAGGCCCACTTCCCTACTGTGACACTGTCACTGGTGGGCATACACGCTGCTCACGCCCCATGCACACCTCTTGTGCACCCACCCGGGCGCATGCACACTCCCATTCATGCAGGTGCTTACATGTGCACACACCTACGTAACCACGAGGTGCCCTCACCTGGGGCTCACATGCACGCCAGGGGTGCTCACGTACCGTCCATGGCCCTACACAAGCCGCATCACGTGCTCACCATCCAGGGACTCGTGTGCGCACTCACCTGGCAGCAAGCCCATGCCGGCAGGCTTCCTGCACCGGGGCTGCAAGAGCCAAGTGCAGCCTTGTGGTGGGCTGAGAGAAGCCTGCCTTGGGGCGGGGCTTCTAGGGTCTGTGCTGGTGGCCTTTGCTCCCGGGCTCAAGGCCTAGACTCGGAGGGAGGCAAGAAGGGAAGATAGAGGGCTGGGTTGGGGGCACAGACAGCCTTTTTGCCTTGCCAGGGCCAGGGGAGTGCCTGGACGGTGTGCAGCTGACCACGTGGGACTGGGCATTACCCGAACCCTTCTCTTCACAGCACGTGTACAGGGCCTCTAGACCCTGGCGGCGGCTGTCAGCCTGAGGCAGATCCGGGCAGCCCCCTCTGGCAGGAGGCTGGAGGGGCCTTTTCCCATCTGCCCAGCTGCACTTGCTGGCCCCGCCCCTCCTCCCTGCATTCCTCCTCCGGGGGTCTGGTACCTGCTGTCCAGCCAGCAGCCTCCTGATGTCCCTGCGTGCTGACAGCCCTTGCTGCCGAGGCGCTAAGCCAGGTGGACTCGAGGCCAGGCTGGGCCTGAGGTGGAGCCCGCGAGTCCCCCTCTGCGCTTGGGGCTGCCCTGGCCTTTGCAGAGCTGGGCCCATTGAACGCTGCCTGGTGCCGGCCACGGGGCTCCCTCTGTTCCACCCTGAGAGCCTTGGACACCACAGAGCCAGAGACCCAGGCAGGGCAGGGAGCTGCCCCAGCCACTCCTGGGGCACGAGGCCACCCCCGTCCGCTAATCGGCTGTGCCCTGTGTGTCTCTCACCAGGAACGGACTGCCCACAGATAAACCAGCTGTCACTGAAGATGTAAACATTTACCAGAAATATATTGCCAGGTAGGCCCCTCGGAGGACAGCGCCATGGAGGAAAGTTGGGGGATCCAGGGATGCACAGGAACAGTGAGACCATCACCAGCCCTCTGAGCGCCAGGGCCAGGGTGTCTGCCTCCGCCCCACCCCCACTCACTGTCCCTGACTCTCCCAAGGGTCTGCCCCATGTGCCTTCTCACGGGTGTGGTCCAAGCCACATAGTCCTTAAGCACCGTATACCCCAGGTAGGGCCAGGAGAGGGACTAGGCGGCAGGGTCTAGCCATAGGTGAGTGCAGGGCCCCCTCTCAACTGACCTGGGTCCCACCTCCACTTGGAGCCTTGGGTAGGGTGCAGGTTTCCCTGGAGCCTTCGGGGTGGAGAAGGGGTGTGAGCAGTTGTCCTTTTGACTGTGTGGCAGCCCAGTGGCTCCCCCAGAGAAGCCCTGACACCCCCTGGCCCCCAAGCCACCCCTTTCCAACCCAAAGGTAGCAGGATTGGCAGGTAAATAACCTTCGCCTCAACAAACTGCCCAGGCCAGGCCTCGTGCCAGTTCCTGGTGGGGCAGCACCACACCGGCGCTGACCTTCCAAGTTCCTCCTGTCCCTCCCAGCCCTCTCCTCCCTCATCCCTGTCTGCCTTTTCAGCTTTGCTCTGTTCCGTCTTCTCTTCATTATTATTATCGTCGTTATTAGTGCATCAGCAGATGGCCCCTTTGGCAGCTTTAGCTCAAATATTTATTTGCAAGCGGTTTCCCCCTTACGGGAGGGGTTTCTCTCCCTGCTGCGCTGTGTCGTCATCCTTGGTGGGGCTGGCCACCCGCACAAACCACGTTCTCCGCCGTCATCCCAGTGTGCTCTCCCCAGTTTGGCCGCCCAGGGCTGGTCATCACCAAGGCTGAGAACCACGTCCCGAGCAGCACGGGCCTGCAAATGGACTGGGGTTTTCTGGGAGGTGGGCAGAGACCGGGCAGTGCGGGCTCCTGGCTGCGGAGTTGGCTGGAGACTGAGCTCCCCGCTGCAGGAAGCCAAACAGATGCTAGGCTTTAAAAATTCATAACTCTGGACTGTTTCAAGTGTCGGGAAAAGCCCGGGACAGAGAGAGCCCTTTAACACCTCTCAGGAGCAGAGCCCTGGCTGGCCATGCCACAATCACCAGCACCTGGCCAGAGCTGGGTGGGCTGTGGGCCACATTTGGACTCTGGATCTCCTCGGCTGTCCCTGGCATGGCACAGGGCCCACCCCCCATGACTTCCTCCCCACCTGGCACTCATTCCCAGGTGGCGGCTGGCAGGTGTGGAGCCTACAGGCTAGGCCTGGACTGCCAGTGGGCCCAGTCACTTCCCAGGTCTCTGCACCCCTCCCCCAGCCCCACAGAGCCCTGCAAACCCAGCGGCACTTCTCTGGGGCATGGGCATGAAGAGGTGACTGCTCAGACCTGAGACCCTGGATGAGTGCCCCCTGGGGGACCCTGAGAAGGGCTTGACTGCACTCCTCCCTCCCTCCAGGTTCTCGGGCAGTCAGCACTGTGGCCACATCCACTGCGCCTACCAGTACCGCGAGCACTACCACTGCCTTGACCCCGAGTGCAACTACCAGGTAGAGGCCGCCCGGCCAGCTCTGCTTCCCCACCGTGCACGGCGTGCTGCAGGCCGTTTCTGGAAGTAGGGTGGGGGGGTGCTTGATCAAATTGAGGCTCAGAGAGATTGTCACTTATGTCTGAAGCCACCTGTGGCAAGCGTGGCACCCGTAGAGAGGTGGCACTCGGGCAGTCTACACCAGGCAGAGCTGCCACCCCTCGGAGCCCCTGCCTTCAGCATCTGGCCGGGGTCATCTTCTGCGCTCCTGGCCATGGCTGCTGGGAGCCTCAGGGAAGGGTTTGTGGTTCTCGAACCCTGGAAACTGCTCGCTCCAAGGGCCAGTGTGCTGGGAACTGGCCTTGGGCAGCCTCTGCTGCCACAACCCCGAGCAGGTTATTTATAGAGTGACCTGAGGGCACAGGGGCCACCACCCGGCCCAGGCGCACTTGGCACGGCGGGCGGGAGGGGCGGGGGCAGGCTCCTGCCAACTCGGCGTTGTCTCCTGGCAGAGGTTCACGAGCAAGCAGGACGTGATCCGGCACTACAACATGCACAAGAAGCGGGACAACTCCCTGCAGCACGGCTTCATGCGCTTCAGCCCGCTGGACGACTGCAGCGTCTACTACCACGGCTGCCACCTGAACGGAAAGAGCACCCACTACCACTGCATGCAGGTGCCTCTGCCCCCGGCAGCCGGCCAGCCGGCGGAGCGGCGGGGGCTCGCACGTGGGCCGTGTCTGGGGGGCCCAGGGCGGGGCCTTCCCCATGGCCATACTTGGTGTGGGTGAAATTCAGCGAGCTGTTTATACAGACCGACATTTTTCAGGCTTTACCACCAAGAGCAGCATTGCAGATGACTCCTGAGGAGGTTTTTGTTTAATTCTTTGTTTTAATGCCACACTGAGTCTGGGCTTTTTCAAGGTGTCAGGCCTAGGAGGAGCGACTTTGGGTTGCAGTAGCAGCCGCCGTGCCTCCCCCCGGTATTTGGCAGGGGTTGTTATGGCCTCTCTGAAACAACCTGGGCCACGGGGAGGGGGGCCCGCCCTCCGGGCTCTGAGATGGTGCAGGCGCTGGCACAGGCCGGCCTTCACGAGGGTTCAGATTCCACCGCTTTTTACTCAATATGGCAACGTTGCCTGCCTGGCCCAGCGGCGGTGGGGTGGGAGGGCCCCGGGCCAAGGAATCATCCACTAAGGAAGTCCCCAGGCTAAAGGTGACCTCCAGGGTCCAGCCCCTGTCCAGCTGGAGGGTTTGGAGGTCGGGCCGCACTCTAGGACACCAAACCAGCTCATGCAGAGCACAGCTCCCTCGGCTGGGCTGCGCGTTCAGGGTCTGTGAGCGAAGCCCAGCCCTCAGCAGGCCTCTCCTGGGGAGCCCGGGTGGTGCTCTGAGTGGCCAGCCCCCAAGACCCCCAGGCTGAGGTGTGAAGCTCTCCCTTGGCCCCAGCTGCGTCCGATAGCTCTGACCTTGGCCCGGCGTGCCCGGCGTCCATTGCGCTGACTGCGTTCTGGCCCCTGCAGGTGGGCTGTAACAAGGTGTACACCAGCACCTCAGACGTGATGACCCACGAGAACTTCCACAAGAAGAACACCCAGCTCATCAACGACGGCTTCCAGCGCTTCCGAGCCACCGAGGACTGTGGCTCAGCCGATTGCCAGTTCTACGGGCAGAAGACCACACACTTCCACTGCAGGTAAGCAGGGCCTGGCCGGCGCTGGGGGCTGGGGGCACCTCCTGGGCCGGAGGAGGAACAGAGGCAGGAAGCACGCTCACGGGACGGCTCAGGGCCCTGCCTCCTCCACAGGAGTAGGGACGAGGGGAGGGGGCTGCCCAGAGACCAGCCTGGGTCTTCCATCCCGGACACCGTCCCTCCCAGGGCCGTGGCGGGGGGACACAGGGCGGAGCCTCCGCTGGGTGCCCGGAGGCCCCGTGACAGGCTCACGATGTCCTGCCCAGGCGCCCCGGCTGTACTTTCACCTTCAAGAACAAGTGTGACATCGAGAAGCACAAGAGCTACCACATCAAGGACGATGCCTACGCTAAGGACGGCTTCAAGAAGTTCTACAAGTACGAGGAGTGCAAGTACGAGGGCTGCATGTACAGCAAGGCCACCAACCACTTCCACTGCATCCGCGCCGGCTGCGGCTTCACCTTCACCTCCACCAGCCAGATGACCTCGCACAAGCGCAAGCATGAGCGCCGGCACATCCGCTCCTCGGGCGTGCTGGGGCTGCCGCCCTCGCTGCTGGGCGCCAAGGACACGGAGCACGAGGAGTCCAGCAACGACGACCTGGTGGACTTTTCTGCCCTGAGCAGCAAGAACTCCAGCCTCAGCGCCTCCCCCACCAGCCAGCAGCCCGCCGCGCCCCTGGCCTCCGCGGCCGAGGCTGCGCCCGGCGCCACCAAGCCTCCCAACAGCAAGATCTCGGGGCTGCTGCCCCAGGGCTTGCCTGGCTCCATCCCCCTGGCCCTGGCCCTCTCCAACTCTGGCCTGCCCTCCGCAGCGCCCTACTTCCCTCTCCTGCCTGGCCGTGGCAGTGCCTCCCTGCCCGCCAGTGCTCCTGGCCTCCTGGGTGCCATGTCGTCGGGGGCCGCAGCCTCGGCCGCCCCTGACACACCTGCTCTGGTGGCCTCCGGAGCTGCAGACTCGGCCCCGGGGGCTGCCAGCTCTGTCCCAGTGCCCCCGGCCTCCATCATGGAGAGGATCTCTGCGAGCAAGGGCCTCATCTCACCCATGATGGCCAGACTGGCTGCGGCCGCCCTCAAGCCCTCTGCCACCTTTGACCCAGGTGAGCAGGCTGGGCCCCGCCCAGGAAGCACGTGCCTTCTGAACCCCAGTGGCCCCGGGGGGCAGAGCAGAGCAGGGGGCTGTTGGCAAAGGGTGTCTGTCTGGTCCCCACACCCAAGTCTCCTGTCCACCAGCACCCCCTCTTGGCTGGTCTCTGCCTCCATCCTGTTTGTTTTTCCTTTGGGGCCCCTTGTTCTGGTCTGCCTGCCCCCCAGGCAGCTCTCGCCTCTGTTCCCCATCGGTGAAGTGGGGGCAGTAAGGGGTGCCTGTGCATCCGGGGACAACTGCAGATCCCTCCCCGTCCTCCCACCTTCACATCACTGGTGAGGGCCTCCCAAGCCCCTGCTCGCCCTTCCCTAGGGCCTCTTCGGCTGACCCGGCAGGGCCAGGAGTCCAGCCCACGGCAGGGTGGCTGTGCCTTCCACCTGGACGCCTGTCGAGACCAAAGGCTGCTCCACGCTGTCCCCCCATAGAAGTGATACAAACCTGGTCTGCACAGTGCGGCCTGGCAGCCGCTAGCCACACACGGCTACTGAACACTTAAAGCCAGCCGGTTGCACAGGGAAACTGGATCTTAGCTGTCATTAATTTGGTTTTAAATAGGAACACCTGGCCAGCAGTTGTGGGGGGGTGGGGGAGCCAGTCACATCTCTGTATTCACCTGGGCTCCCGGGGTGGGGTGGGGGCAGTTCCTTCTCTCCCTCCCTCCTTCCTTTCCTGTATTTATTTATTTATATTTTTATTTATTTATTTGGTGGCGGGGACTTTTTCTTTTCCCTCCCTCCCATCTCTTTTTCCTGGACTGGGTAATCAGTATTGGTCAGATCATTGTGAGGAGGTCAGGTCCTGTCTGGGATGTGGCTTGTTTCATTCATTCACTCAACAACCACCGATGGGAGCAGCCTGCTGGGTCTCACTGGGAGCCAGGCACGAGCCAGCGGGACCACAGACAGAAGCTTGTGCTGTGGTGCTGACGGAGCTGCGGGGACGTCTGTCCCCAGGCACCCAGCTAGGAAGTGATGGAGATGTGGCCCAGAGTCTGGCCCCTGGGCCTGGATGCTCTGCCTGCTTGGAGACTGGGAACCAGCCAAGACCGAGGTCTCTGCAGCCCAGCCTGGCCTCTGCTGAGACCTCCCCGAGGGCAGCCAGTGCGGGGCAAGGGGACCTCGGCAGGTGACTTCTGGGAGCTGCTGGGGGTGGACCCCGGGGGCTACCAACTCTCAGGTCCCCAGTGGTCCCAGTGGGAGCAACCGGCCTGCATTCCCAGTAGGGGAGGGGTCCTGCCCAGGCCGCGGCTGGCCAGCAGGGCAGGGGCCCATTCCAGGCCACACTGGGCGCGACGGCCAGACTGTCAAGCGCTATCTTTTCCTCAGAAAACTCTCCTTCCCCCAAAAGAAAGGTCAAGGGGAGGGGGCCTTTTTCCTTTACTTTTTAATAAAATGCCACTTGCTGTCTGTGAAGCAGCGCTCTGTCAGCTGTAGCGCCTTGGGGCAAATTAATATTTCAGTCACTTGGGGATTGTGGGGGAAGGCTCGGCGGACACGTTCCTGTCAGCAACTTCTCTGCCCCTGCTCTGCTCTCCCTCGGACCCAGCCCGGCTGGCCGGCTGGCCTCTCGGCCCTGCCCTGGACAGCTTGACGGCCGAGGTCACACAGTTTGAACCGCCCTGATTGGCCGTCAGCTCCGATAGCCCTGACACAGCAGATGCCCTTCCCGGGCATGCTCAGTGCGGCGGGGCCGTCGCCCCGGCAACAGCGGGCCGGGGACCACGGAGGGGCCGCTCCCAGTCCAGAGCTGCCACTTTGCCTCAGCATTAACAGAGTCTTTAATAAAAGCCTAAGCGGCAGCCCCACAAATTGACTGTGACAGTTGGTGGAGAAAATGAAGGGCCCCCGCCCCCGCCCCAACCCCCTCCCCAGCCTCCCCCCCTTCTCCTCCAGGAGGCCCTGAGCCAGGACAACTTTGACATAATTTTGCAATAATTATCACTTGAAGAATCGCCACACAGGGGTACGCGTCGCAGGCAATCACGTCAGCGGGGGGATTCGCTGACCGCCAGTCAGGCCTCCCCGGCCCTGCTGCCGGGAGGGGGGACCGCGGTCTGTGCCCCTCTGACCCCCTCTCCCCTCCCCTCCCCCTGTAGGAAGCGGGCAGCAGGCCGCCCCCGCCAGGTTCCCCCCAGCCCAGGTGAAGCAGGAGCCCGGTGAGAACCCCGGCGCCCTGGGCCCCCACGAGGCCTCCCAGGACCGCAGTCGAGACCTGGCTGTGAAGGAGCCCAGGTGAGGCGAGGCCTGGCCCCCAGGAGGAGGCTCCCTGCACGACACCCTCTGAGCTGGACCCCGGAGGGGCGGCCAGGGCCCAGCCCGCCCAGCGAGGCAGGATGGGCGCCCGGGGCGGGCTGGGAGGGCCGGGCCCTCGGGGGGCTGTCCCATCCGCCGCCCATGGCTGAGCTAGAGCCCCCTGGTTTGTGTGTTCCAGTAATGAATCAAATGGCCACGCAGTCCCGGCAAATTCATCTCTTTTATCCTCGCTTATGAATAAGGTAAGAACATCCATCACTCGCCTCCCATTCCCCACCCAGAGAAATTAAAGCTGTGCTGGGGGCTTGGGGGGGAGGTGTTTGTTTTTTAATGTTTTCCCTCTAATAAGATGAGTTTGTACCATTTAAATTTTGAGGCCATTTTTCATCGGATATAATTTCAGAGCCACTGCTTACAAATTAATTTAATGAACTGGCTGCAGAAATATATCCCAGCCTCTGACACCTTTTTTTTCCCTTCAGATGGAGGGCTCCAGAAGCTTTTCCTGAGCCCTCTAACTTCTTCTCGCTCTTAGTTATTAATTTTATTTATTTATTTTATCTATTTTTTGTTTGTTTAAGGAGGGGTGGGGGCAGGGGAGCTAAAGTGGGAGCGGGTTGAGTAATGGTGTCGGACGCCTTCCGGAGAGGTCGCACTGGAATATTTATTTTAAATAATGCAGGGTCTCTGTAAATTATACATCATCTCAAATATATTTTTCCCCTTCACATGATAAATTTGACTACAGCAAGATTAATTTGGTTACCCTACACAAGTGACGGTTGTACAGGGAGCCGGGCCTGGGCCCGACCTCACGGGGCGGGGGTCCTGCCTGGGCACTTGGCGGGACAGCAGCCTCCGGCTGCCCCTGGCTGCCCTGCCGCCTCCGCTCCTGCCTGCTCTCTCGCTCTCAGCCCCTGCCCCCTGCCCCCTGGCGCCCGTCGAAGTCGGTCAGCACCGTGGTGTGGCTGCTCCCTAGGCGCTTCTGGTAGTACCAGACCACAGCCAGCACCTCCTCCGGCTTGCAGTGGCAAGGGAGCTCGAAGCTCATGTCCGCCAGGTAGGCGGCGTTGTCAAACATCAGGAAAGCCGGGCAGGGCGTCTTCTGAAAAATATTCTCTTTCTCCACGATCTCAAAGGCCTGGAGGTGCCCCCACGCCCACAGGAGCAGCGTGGCCGGGACCAGGCTCATGCCTGCGGGAGGCAGGGGCACGGCGAAGCCGAGGCACTGAAGGCCCGCGTGGCTTCCAGGAAAACAAAATCTCTGCCTCAAAGTTCTCTGTAGGAGAGAAGGAGTCAGCGGCTGGAAGAGGAGGAGGAAGCAGCCTAGAAGCAAGGCGGTTTATTCTCTAGCTGTGTACAAGATGCCCTTCTAATGTTCAAGGCGTGAGCTCTAGGGAAAGCCATTCTAGAACTCTGGCCTTCACTCCTCCTTTTCTAGAACCCTGG